GTAAACAACGTTTTACATTAGAAGCCAAAGCATTTCTTTTAAAAAGTGGACGTGTATCTCAATTACTTCAAAATTATGTTCGTGACGCTCTTGATATGGCTGCTGTTGTTGATTTTCTGAATCATAAAACAAATTATGATGTACGTTCGAGTCAGTCAATAGTTGATGAAATCGTTCAAACAGGTAAACATGGTGCAATGGGAAAAAACGATATGAACAGTTTAAAAAGTCGATTGAGACAATCGCTTGTCAGAAGCTTTTTTCCTTCCGGAGTTATGACAAACAGAAGCCGAACTTTCTCTCAAAGCTATTTGTCTCACGAAATGAGAGATGCAAAACATAGTAAGCTACAAAATGACTTGCTAACAGGCCACCAATACTCAAACGACAATTCTTCTGGGTTTCTACTTATATTCTTACTACTTCCCTTTCTCCTTTCTCATCTTTTCCTCAACTTTGTCGGTCGACATTTCGCTCAAACGACACAATATTCTCCAGAAATAGGTACGTATACGGAAGCTTAGGCACCGCGCTTTACACTAGAACCTATTTTTTTCTTGCTTGTGCATGATTTTTAATTTTCTGCATGCATTTTAGTTTTCTGCGCTTTTTCTTTTGTATTAAAAGAAAAAATTTCTGTACAGTTTCATACTGAATTCAGCAGTTGTAGCCGTTTATCATTAACTCAGAAAAAAATTAATGTCTTTCATTGCTGAAAATCAATTCCAATTATTGATTTTGATATGCGATGAAAGACAACATATGATACTAAATCTCGATTTATCCTGTTGTTTAACCGAACTCATACATTTTGGATAGATAAATGAGTGTTTGGGCTCGGATAAAACATATCAGGATGCGAGACAATTCAACTGACGATTCGTTTTTACTTGCATATTTGATTGCCTTTTTCCTCATTTGGTTTCATTTTTTGGCAAATCATGTGTACACAGTAATTTTTGTCTCAAATAATTAAATGATTCGTACTACCTCTTGCTCCGCTTAAAAACGTTGCCGCGAACCAAACCAGGCCATTGAAGCATATTTTTAAAATCAGTAAGATCTTGAATTTCAGTATTAGATACTTCAGCTTTCGATAGATGTAGGCCTACGTGGCAGATAATATGTGAACAGACCCTGATTTCATATATTTCTGGACTGGCGAACAAAGCCAATTCAAATGTTTCGATCTGGTGATATGTACCCAATAAATGCATCGCAGTTTCAGTGGGTGAGCGAGTAGAGCATACTCTTCCCACTTTTTTTGACTTTTGCTTTGGCAACCCCCTTGGAAAATTTTGATATATTTATCTAGTTCTATTTAAGGATTTACCTATCGATGATATGTTTCGTATTAGTTGCTACATGCTTGTCATTTGTTTTTGTGTTACTTGTCATTTGCTTTTGTGTTTCTTAAATCTCAAATTTTAAGAGATAAAATTAAAATCGATCACACTATTGTCGTTTTTATTAAATAGTATGTAACACCAACCTCAAACTTGATCATTTATCCCGGTTTTTCCTACTTTTTTACTAAGCTCAAACATGCTGGCAAACAGAATGCGTGTTTGAGTTTGGTTCAATTAATAGGAGCCGTGGAAATTCGTCGATCAAAGTAAAGAAAAACTTATACAATTTTACTTTCGTGTAATGCTCTGCTTCCTCTATTTATAGGTTGAAATTTGTAGTTACGCAAAATTAGAATGGTTAAATTATTTTTTATCTGTATAAAATATCAATGTTATTAAATTTATTATCATTTTTATTATTTATATTTACTTTTATTTAAAACGAATTCGTTATTAATTACCTGCTTTATTAAGACTTTTCCTGCATATTTTGCTCAAATAAAAATTATTTTTTAAAAACCGTGGCAAAGTTCCTGAGTCAGACGAGTATCCTAGAACAAAATTTTGGAAATAAAAAAATATCGCTGTAGTTGAGACGCAAATTTTTATTTTGGTGATCGTGAAGAAGATAGATATAATGGATATTTAAGTTGATGAAATCGTTCAAACAGGTAAACATGGTGCAATGGGAAAAAACGATATGAACAGTTTAAAAAGTCGATTGAGACAATTATCAAAAAAAATGGCAACGATACCGTCAAAAATTAATCCGTTATTTAAATAGTGACAAGCTAAAATATATTAACTACTAATGGCATTTGTCTCCAATTATTCTAGATTTTATTAGATTTTATTATTAGCTTTAATATTTTGCTTATTTTTTTATTTGTGGCAAAGTTTTGTTGTCTTTTCTAGTCGT